GAGACGGATGAAGTATCTTTTAAGTTGGTAGTAGCCAAATTTCTATTGATAGCGAGTAAGTTCATATTTTCATACTATTGTACAAAAAAGACAAACTTACAAAATCTGCTCTTATATTTTGACTAATTTTCAGTGATTTTATCTTTTTTGTATAGAGCTCCTCGAATGTTTTTTGACCACCAAACTTTACAAGCGCCCATAAAATTTGTTGATTATCATTCTACCAAAGTTTCAGAATGTTTTGAAATGTTTTGCTATGTTTTCTTGCGTGGGTGCACCGTGAGTGCACTGATCTAGGGTGTAGAAAAACCACTCTCTTGATTGAATGAAGATACTCTATGATTTACACTTGTTTAAGAACACAAACATATCATAAGTTCATAACACAGATTAAATGGTGAAAGTGAAACTTTTCTGACACTAACAGGAGTTTGAAACTTTTATGACAATGACACTGGCAGGTGCTCCCTTGTTGGAAATGCTAACTAACCATCGTTCTCTCATTGTGACAGAGAGGGGGCTGATACAAGGCGAAAGCAGGAGAACTGTCCTAATCTGCAGAATTTGTATAAGGCTAGTACTGTATATTGTTAGTAATGTGCCCAGACCGGCGGGACTATGGAGTTACTGAATTTGCAATTGCACTCTGGCTCTAGCTAGAATATAAGTACGCCATGGGCTCTAGTTCCCATGGAGCATGTAAGAGCAGCATATGCGGGTTCTTCTGATTGTAATTAGGTAGTAATGTGCTAGCGTGGCTTGGACGTCGACATTTGTTCATATAAATCGTGGCCTGCTTGGATTGGCCTGGTTGAATATGTCTGAATCAATGTGGTCTATGGTTCATCTTAGCTTGAAAAAGCTAGCTATTATTTTCATATGAGGATCTTGTTCGGGAACATAAGGGGTTTTAGGCAAAGAAGACGCGGAATCCAGCTGAAAGAATATATGTCCTGAGAAAATATTGATCACGTTGCGCTCCAAGAAACGAGCAGGGCCGAATTCTCCTACTTTGATCTCAAATCAATTGAACCTCAAGAGAAATTCACGTGGCAACTAGTGACAAGCCATTTGGGAGAGCAGACAGTCAGAAGCTGAATGGCAAAGTCGCTACGTCGTCGAGAATAAAATCATCAAACTCTAGAGGGAAGAGGAGTTTACTGGAGCCAAGGGGATGGTTCTTAAGATTGACCAAAGGGGACGCTAATACTACCTTAATGGCGACAAGCGACTTATGGCGACTCCTCCACTTCTGACTCACCATGGAAAAATTTCTTCGGCCGTGAACTCTTGGACCACATCTACAATTTCTATGTCGAGCTTACAGGGGTTGTGCAACCCAGAAGGGATGGGTTGGTTCTGGCTCCAGGTTTCTGGGATTTTATCAAACCACTGGTCTCAGATATTATTAACGGCTTTGCTTTGGGAATGGTTGATATATCGCGCATTATTTTCGCTGTCCTGTCACTTGTTTCTAAGATACCAGGGGTAGACCGTATCGCCTAGTTCCGTCCTATCGCTGATCAAAGTCATTTCCAAATTAGTGCTTAAAGTTTATGCGATGAGACTCGGTCCTATTGTTAGCCTTCCTTTTTCTTTCTATTCTTGCAGAGTGAATAGTTGAGTTGTCCCCCCTTTGGCCCCCGCGTCGCTCCGCTCGGGGCGACTCGGGTGGCGACGAAAACCCTAGCCGCCGGCCCCCCGTTCCCCTCCTCCTGCCCCCTCGCCGCCGCCCGAGGAGGCCTCCGGCGAAGCCCGCATGGTCGCCCAAGACGGCGGCGGTGAGGATCTGGCTGCTTCGCTCCTCGCGGAGGGCTTAGGGCGCCGAGGCAGCGGCCTCGGGTGGTGCGGCGGCGCCGTTTCTGCGGCAAGCGGCGTCGCGGGTGTTGCCCCCCCGTCTTCTTGGTCGCGAGGGCGGCGAGTGACGGCGGGCGCTGACGCCGGTCGCAGCGGGGGCGCGGCCCCCCTGTTCGCGCCTGGACCTGAAGGCAACTTCCACTCCCCCTCAGCGCGCTCCTCCTCGCCGGATCTGGTCGCCGGCGGCCTCTGGACGCCGGATCCGTGGCTGGTGGGGTTGCTTGGAGCTGCGGAACTGGACCGGGAGAAATACTTGGCTGGTTCTCCGGCCACGGCATCGGCGACACAGGCAGGTGCCGTTTTCCTCCTCGGAGGCTTTGTCGAGGTTCGTTCCCTCTCCCTCCTGCTCCATGACCCGGGTGAAAACCCTTGTCTTCTCAAAGACTGGATGGCAACGGCGCAACGTGCGTCGCCACCTTCTTGAAGGTGTCGTCTTGGGCATGGTAGGAGTGTGCAGAGTGCTGTGAGGTGGGTGTCGGGTTGGCTGCGTCAGCAGCGAGGGAGGTGAAGCTTGGTGCTCTGTTTATGTAGCAGTGATGCTCTGCTTTGGCTTGCTCGCCGGATCCTTACTTGCTTGCTCGCCGGTTGGCGCCATTCTTGGGCAGGGAGGGGATAGGGCTCCTCTCTTCTGCTAGCAGCAACTTGATGCGGTGGCTTGGGCATGGAGCCTATCCATTCGGGCTTGATCTGCTTCCTGTAAGGTTGCTTCATCTTACTCGTTGTTCGTTTGTTCAGTGTCAGTGCCTTTGTGCAGTTTTTCCCCTTGGTAGTTGTAGCGGTGACCTGCGGTGTGGCAATTCGTCTGGTTCCTCATGCAGCGCTGTGTCGGGTTGAGAATCTCCCATGGTGCCCGACATCGTGTCCTATCCTGGCTCTAGGGTGAGCTTCTCCATATTCCAGCGGTCCGGCGCCTTTCGAGCCAAGGCGAGGGGCAGGGGTCCCCTCTGGATTTGGAGAGGAGTGGATCGAACAAGGTGTCACCTTTCGGTGTAGATGAGGACGTGACCATCGCTGGACTTTGTCTCAGTATGAAGAACCCCTCCGGTTTGCTCAGCTTGATCTACTTCACTTGGTGGACGCCATCGACTTCTAGCTAGTGCTTAATTTGCTTATCCCTATAGGGCTTAGTCTTTGGTGCTTGTAAGCTGCTTCGGCAACACTATGTATCTGCTGCTTTTTTTTGTTCTTGTTTGCGGCTTTTCGCAGTTGTTTAGTGGTTGTTACGATGGCCTTGTGTAATCCCTGGCCGGTTGATGGCTTTGTTAATTCAAAGTCGGGCTCCCCCTTGAGCCTTCGTTCTAAAAAAAAAAATAGTTGAGTTAGGTTGTTGGGCAATGTACCTCGCCCTTTTACCAGGACAAGGAAGTGCGCCGTCTGAACCCTCATGTCGTGCCGTCATCCTCCTCGCCGTCGCACCCAGCCTCGGGCCGGTGCCGGAGGTGCAGGGGAGCCACCTGCACAACAATCATCAACACCAGCATAGCTCCAACTAAGGCATTGGACCCAAAGATAAAAGAAAAATTATAGCCGCCGTGGCCCTGTCTGTGCACTCAAAGTTTTCGCCGGCTTTCATCACCAGATCGACAGTGGTTCAAAATACACATAGTACAACTAAAGCATTGGAGTTCAACCTCACAGAGAGAAAAAAAAACAGTTATGTATAGTTGTGTTTCTATTCCACAACACCAGCTGCCAGAAATAACTAAATAAAGTAGCACAGATAAATAACAGGCAGCTCCAACAATTTCCTGGTCTCTTTCTATCACGCATGAACAATTTCTACACTAGACAAGCAAAGATATCTTCCTGCTTGCATCTACAACTCTTCAGTTTGGATGATCAGGCCATGTATTCCAAGACCCTCCTCGGTACAATCCATACATACACACAGCCAATGCCCCGGTTCAGCCATCTGAGTACTATAAACTATCAACAAGTCAGCTTAAATTGTCACAAGCAGTAGTCTAGAGAATAATAGCCATGTGAAAGGTGCCATAGGGCACGGTGCACCGCCTTGGAACTGCTAAAACAAATGGCTATACAAACTAAGCATGCTCACATGTCTACCGGTGCCACACTTGATGAAGGCTGAAGGTGCAATTTGCTTGCCACTGGGTTTGAACAGAAGCAAACAAGCATGAACATGGGTAGCAAATATCAGTTCAAATAATTGGTGGATGGGTAACAACACAAAGGCGCAAAGAAATTCAGATGCAACGACACCAACTCCTATATGTTTGTACTGAGTCTGACAGAACATGCAAACTGATAAGAGTGATGATTCATATCCCCTGCTTTCCTGCGGAACTGACATTAACAAACAACAATGTGTTCATTGATAAATGTTTTGACTCGGGTCCAGTTGGGAAAAAAAATATGTATAACCCTGGAAGATTTTACAGGAGTAACTATGTAGGATCAATCAATTGCAAACCTATGTTAATGCCAGAATAGCTCCAAGTAAGCTGACCAAAAGATACAGAGTATATAAAGAATAAATTATAGCCCATGTGGCCCTATCTGTGCACATAAAAAGCTTTTCGAATTTTCTAAAATGCAGCAATCATTTGTGCTCCAAAATACACAAGAATGGAGGTCATATTTTTGTGTACCGGCCACAACTAAAAAACATTAGACTTTGCAAAACCTTTCAAACTCCGACCTACCTCTCCCATGGGAGGCATCACCCAAGGAGAACATCAAGCACCCAGGAGAAGGTTATTGGCTACCGGATCAAGATTTCAGACTCACAGTATTATTGTATTCAGAAATAATTATTTCCCCTAAATCGAGATTCATAAAATGCCTTTCCGAAAACATCAAGAAAAGGGAAGACACAAAGCAACAATATACGAGACAATTAATGCGCAGAGAAATATATGCGGATGAAACAACTAGCTAGGAAACTTGAACATTACTGCAACACCAATCAATTTGACGCCTACACCTTAATTTACAGAACTTCCATTCCATGACGAGACAATCTGCCCATATGTCGCATTTTTCTGATTCAGCATATAGGCAAATTACATGACGAGACAAAAGCAACACACACATCATAGAGGTAGCTGACAGGGAAGGCACAAAGCAAAAGATCGTCACTTCAGGTCTAACTAAGGAACATGCATACCGTACACAGGGTGTTACTTCCGCTGGTTTAAAGCAAGGTTGGCAATGAACTCCTTAAAAACCGAGGGATAGGTCGTATATACATGGTCCCAGCCATTAGTTGACATTACTGTTTGCAAGCACGAGGGAGACTGGACTTGGATAAACTTGAAGCACGCCTCCTTCAATCCCTGGCAGTGGTGCTGCTCGGCTAGAGCAAGCGTGGACATCACCGAGGTCACACCTATGTGTTCAGACAGCTGTTGTTCACAGATGAACTTGAGCCGTTGGAGATCATACCTGTCTGCTGCCACAAACAAATGTTGCAAACAATGCAGCCTCATTTCATCCTGTACTGCCTCCGCTTCTTTTGCTTCTTCCATAACTACTGACATTTCATCCTCCCCCATCCTGTCCTCCTCTCTCAAGGGCAAGGGAAACACATCTGTGTAGATGAAAATAAGCAAAGCCCTGAACACTTTTGCTTCCATGTCTTTGATCTGTATGAGGCTGGACGTAGTGGTGCCCTCCTTCATGGGGCCAAAGAGTTGTGCCATGAATACTTTCGACCTGGTTGCAAGCACACACCGGTGGGCAGCGAACCTCTCGCCACCGACCTCGAACGTCACATCAGCACCCACCTTGGTCTGCAAAAGATTGTTAAAATGGTGGTGTATGCCAGACAGGGTGCGACCGGCGTCCTCGGTTTCCGAATCCTGGCAAACAACCATGATGTCACACCGGACGGTGAAACAACCACCCTTCAGATCCGACGATCGTTCGAGGGCATCTCTTCTCAGAAACCTATTGCGGCCCCACGAGGTAGCACTGCTGGAGAAGGTGCAAGTCTTGCTAGCTTCACAAATGTACATCGGATTCTGCTTCTCAACATGGTCGACGAGACTGAAACTGAACTTGGCCTCCACGGCCAGGCCACGCTCGGCATCATCGTTGTCGTAGACAAGGGCTACATCGAGGGAAATGTAGTCGGCGCAATCCAGGGTTAAGCCGTTGGGGTAGTACTGGATGTACCAATAATGGCCTCCTATATTGAAAATACCAGTGGCGATGCTGTCGCCGGTGGGCAACCCCTCTTGTGTCCTCGGGTAGCCCCTGACCATGAGCAGGTGATACCCGCTGTCGGCGCCGGCGTGGACGGCCGATGTATCGCAAGAGCACTCCTTGTCGCCGTCGACTACAGACACGCCGGCGAACGACGACATGACGGAATCTGCTGGCCCATTGAGAATAAATCTACTCAGTCACCATTCAGGCATTCACACTCCACAAATTTCAGACTCGGGATCGATGAGCTAATAAGGGGGGTGGGTGGGGGAGGGGGCAAACCTGGTCACGTCCGGCTGCCGCGAGCACCCCACGGAGTGGCCGCCGCTTCTCCCCGGAACAGAGGCTGCGGCGAGCTGAGGGGCTGGACCCGTCCGGCGGCCGCACGGATTCGCTGCCGCACGAAGACGACTCCCCACTCGCTGCGCCGCTCGCGCTGCCGGAAACGGAGTTCACGCCGCCGCCCCGCTAGCTGCTCCGCCGACGCCGCCGGAAACAGAGAGTGTGCGCCGTCGGCTTGTTGCGTGCGTGCGTGCGTGCTACCTGGGCCTGCATAGGGTTCACAAACAACTCATCACGTCATTGGGCCTCAAGGCCCCAACTGCAAAGCCCATCGCGCTGAATTTTGTGCGATATAATAATCCAATCAAATCAAAAACAGTTAGCCTTTTTTTAGAAACAATTAGCCATATTTTACATTCAAAAATAGTGTTTGTGGAATGGTAAACCCAACTTGACTGATTTTTTCTATCACCAAAATAGAAATTTTCTAACAGCTTCTGCAATGCGCCTCAAACACCCCTCAAACGATCGGGTGGACGGACCGGTCACTCACTGGTAAAAAAAGAATGGCCCAGCAAACCATAGATGCTGCAATACGCATGTCTAGGGCTGTCGGGGTTAAAATAGCGTCGGCAAAAGACCCCAAGCGAGACCTCAAACGGCCCCACGCCACCAGATCGGCGCCGGCAAAAACAATCGCCGCTGGGAAACAACCAACTTGACCTGAACATCTTTAAAGGTACTAATATTCTTCATACCCTGATGAACAATATCTTTAAAGGTACTAATATTCAGTATTCAGATAAAAACAGTGAGCAGTGATGTAGTTGCGTTTCTATTTCGCGCAAATAAATAAACAGTAACAGGCAGCTCCAGCAATTTCGTGGTCTCTTTCTATGATTCTATCACGTGTTAACAATTTCTACACTAGACAAGCAAAGATATATTCTTGCTTGCATATACAACTCTTCAGTTTGGATGGTCAGGCCAATAGGCCATGTATTCCAAGACCCTCCTCAGTGCAATCCATACACGTAGTTCAAGCACCGCCGCCATTCTTCACCTACACATACACACAGCCAATGAACCGGTTCAGTCATCCGAGGACTGTAAAGTATCGACAAGTCAGCTTAAGTTGTCATGAAATCGTGGTCTTACCCAGATCAGGAGAGGAGATACAACCAACAGCATGACCAGGTACATGCTCCCAAAATTAAATAGCCATGCGAAAGGTGCCTCAGGGCGCAGTCCACCGCCTCGGAGCTGCTAAAACAAATGGCTATACAAACCAAGCATGCTTACCTGTCTGGCACTGCCACACTTGCTGATGAAGGCTCAAGGTGCAATTTGCAGCAGCAGGGTGCTGCCACTGATTTTGAACAGAGACACAAAAAGCATTAGCATGGGTAGCAAATGTCAGTTCAAATGATCAGGTGTGTGGGTAACAACACAAAGACGCAAAGAAATTAAGAGTTCCAAAATGGATGACCCAAGTTTGTACTAAAGTTAGTACAAAGTTGAGTCATCTATTCTGGAACGGAGGGAGTATATGTTTGTCTGCCAAGCCTGACGGAACATACAAACAGATAAGACTGATGATTCATATGTTGAAAATCTGGACCCATCCCATTGGAAACAAGTAGGTAGGTGCACATATCTGCATCAAGATACTTGGAAATTGCAAGAAACACAAAATTTGGATAAAAAAACAACTGGAAAATGTATCAATGGAGCCAATGGTGGCAAGTCGGGAGATGTAATAAATACAATTCAAAAAAAATGGTTATTCTGATTGCTTAGCTGTTAGCACTACAAGCCTGGTTGGTAGTTGATCTCCAATGTGAACTTTTGTGGTCAAGCAATGCTCTAGGTAATAGCTCACACCAGTAGTAATAAATAGGAACAAAAATTACATTCCCTGCTTGCCCATTCATCATGTCCTAAAAAGGGCGAATGATTCATATTTTCTCGAAGATACCTCCCATTGATTGATCCAATCAGCCGGTTTCCTTGCATACGTTGTACAGGCATTTTAATTTTTTGGCTTTTCAAGGGCATCAACACCAGCATAGCTCCAAGTAGGTTGGCCAAAAGCTATTTGTTATATAAAGAAAAAGTATAGCCCCTGTGACCCTGTCTGTGCACTCAAGATTTCCCAAGCTTTCCTAAATTGACAGCAACCATCTGTGCTCCAAAATATACCAGGATGAAAGTAATATTTTCAGGTACAGAGCACAATTAAAGCATTGGACTTTGCAAAAACATTTCAAGCTCCCACATTCATCTCCCATGGGAAGTGCCACACAAGGAGAACATCAAGCACCCAGGAGAAGGTTCCTGGGTACTCGACCAAGGTTTCACACTGACGCTGTCATTATAATCAGAAAAAATTGTTTCCCCTAAATCCAGGTTCATAAAATGCCTTTCCAAAATATCTACATTGTTCTTTTTGATAACCAAGGGTTATACATGACAGGGAAGGCACGAAGCAACAGTATACGAGACAACTAATGCAGACAACTAAGGATAAAATGACTAGCTAGGAAGCTTGCACATTACTAATATGCCGATCAATTTGACACTTACTCCTACAGACCATCCATTCCATGTTGCCATATTTTTGGATTTCCCTGATTCAGCACATGGGCAAATTATATACATGATGAGACAAACACAATACACACAGATTACCATCTCTCTAGAGGATCCCACATATGCAAAAGAGTGTCAATTCAGGTCTAACTAAGGAACATGCATAGCGTACCGTATGCAGGGTATTACTTTCGCTGGTTCGAAGCAAACTTGAGAAAGAGCTCCTTCAGAACTGAGGGATAGGTCGAAACTACATGATCCCAACCATTAGTTGCCATTACTGTTTGCAAGCACGAGGGGGACTGGACTTGGATAAACTTCAAGCACGCCTCCTTTAATCCCTGGCAGTGGTGCTGCTCGGCTAGAGCAAGAGCGGACATCACCGTGCTCACACCTATGTTCTCAGACAACTGCTTCTCACAGATGCACTTGAGCCGCTGGACATCATATCTGTCAGCCGCTACCAACAAGTCTTGAAGCCATTGCAGCAACATTTCATCCTCTACTGCCTCCTTTTCTTGCCCATCTTCCATAACTTCCACCATTGCATCCTCCTCCATGCTGGCCTTCTCCATCACAGGGAATGAGTCTGTGTAGATAAAGCTAAGCAGTGCCTTGAACACTTTTGCTTCCATGTCTTTGATCTGTATGACGGCGGATGTCTCCTTCATGGGGCCAAATAGTTGTGCCATGAACACCATGGATCGGGCAGCGAGCACACAGCGGTGTGCGACGAAGGTCTCGCCGCTGACCTTGAATGTCACATCAGCACCCACCTTGGTTTGAAGGAGAATGTTAAAATGCTGGTCTATGTCAGACAGGAGCACCTTGGTGTCATGACCACCGGCATCCTCGGCTTTGGGATCCTTGCGAATGACCATGACATCACACCGGATGGTGAAGCAATCACCCTTTAGGTCCGATGATCGTTCAAGGGCATCTCTTCTCACAAACTTGTCGGTGCCCCAGGAACAACGGCCGTCGGTGAATCGGCAAGTCTTACCAGCCACACGAATGTACATTGGCGTCTGCTTCTCAACCTCGTCAACGAAGCTGAAACAAAACTTGGTCTCCAGGGGCTCTTTGAGACTGTCGTCGTAATTGGTGACATAGAGAGAAATGAAGTCGCCGCAGTCTGGGTTTTCGCCCTTGGGGTAGTACTCGATGTACCAGCAATGGCCTCCTACGGTGAAAGCATCGGAGGTGATGCTCTCGCCGGCGAACAACTCTTGTTTGGTGCGCGAGTATCCACGGACCACGAGCAAGTGGTACCCGCTGTCCGCGCCGCCGGCGTCCACCACGGCCGACGCCTCGTAACAGCACTGCTCGCCGTCGATGATAGAGACGCCGGTGAAGCACGACATGACGAGCCTGCCAATCCATTGAAAATGAGTTACATTTGCTCAGTCTGTCGGTCACCATTGAAACCCCAAATTGAGTTGGGAGTTGGGATAGATGAGCTGAGGGGCGAACCTGGTCAGGCACTCCGCGGAGCCGCCGCTGCGCCGCCCGCTCCGACGTTTCTGCGCGGGGAAGCAGACCTGAGCTTGCACCGGCGGCCGCACGGAGTCGCCGCTGCTTCTGCTTCACACGCTACGCCGCGCGGGGGAAGCGGACCTGAGCTTGCACCAGCGGGCGGCCGCCGCGGGGAAGCTGCCTGGGCTTGCACCGGCGGGCGACCTTACGGAGTCGCCGCCGCGTCGCTCGCCGACGGAAAACAGAGTTTGCGGCGCCGGCTCGCCGATGGGTGCGGCCTGGGCCTGCCACGTTGACTTAGGGTTTGTAAGTCCCCACGTTGTTGATTGGGCTTTCTAAGGCCCTCACGGCCCACGTTGCAAAGCCCATACATCGCTCACGGCACTGTTTAGGCGAAATCATACTCGTTACAAAGAACACTCCATTTTCCCAGGTCGCGACAAGTGGCGCACATGCAGCGCGCCACTTGTCGCAACCTGAGAGTTTTTCCTTTTTTCATAGATCCATTTATTCAAAACATTTTATCTCTAAAACCGTGCGTCCAAATCTCGAACCGTTTTCACCATTGGATTCCTCGCGTCGAGATTTTCAAAACTAGATCCCATGTTGACAGGTTTTGATGAACTTTTTTTCATGAAAAAAACCGGACGAAAAAACCGGGCGGAAAAACCGAACCGGAAGCATGGTTTTTTTCCTTTTCCGAAAGAGGCAAGCCCATGCCTCTCGCAAAATCACAACCATGCCTCTCGTGGAAGCAAAACCATGACTCTCTTATAAGGGAAGAAAACAGAAAACGTGTTTTTTTTCGTTTCCGAGAGGCACAGCCGTGCTTCTCGCGAAAGCAAAACCGTGACTTTTGCAAAAGAAAAAAAACAGAAAACGCGTATTTTTTTCCCTTTCCGAGAGGCACGGCCGTGCCTTTCGCGTAAGCACAACCGTGCCTCTCGCGAAGGAAAACCCTGACTCTCACGAAAGAAAAAAAAACAGAAAACACGTTTTGTTTTTCCCTTTCCGAGAGGCACGGCCGTGACTCTCGCGAAAGCACAACTGTGCCTCTCGCGGAAGCAAAACCGTGACTCTCGCGAAAGAAAAAAAACAAAAGACGCGTTTTTTTTCGTTTCCGAAAGGCACGGCCGTGACTCTCGCTAAAGCACAACCGTGCCTCTCGCGGAAGAAAAACCGTGACTTTCGCGAAAGGAAGAAAAGAAAACGCGTTTTTTCGCGAAAAAAAATTTCGAATTTTTTTGATCGAAAAGTTAAGAACGACCGGGGAAAACCAAAACGTCGAAAAAAACCGGGAAAACCGTTTAAAAAGCCGAAAACGTGTGCGGAAAAATAAAAAAAAACAAAATCCGAATGGAGCATCCAGAGCGCGACACTTGGTGAATGGCTGAGAGCGCGCCAAGTGGCGCTGATCGTTGCGAGGCTCCCGAAGGAGCGCTCTAACTAGTTGCTCCCCTGTTTGGGTTTGGGCACAGCCTGAAAATCGAGCTGATTTTTGCTGATTCACTCAAAGCAATTCGAATTTGTATTTACAGAACGGCTAATTTTTTTGCGAATTTTTTTTTCAATCTATTCATTTTCAGTCATGGTAGTATAACGAACACTAGAAATAATAAGTTTTATATCCAGATCCGTAGACCACCTAGCGACGACTACAATACAAGCACCGAAGCGAGCCGAAGGCGCGCCGCCGTCATCGCCTCTCCATGGCCGGAGTCGGACAAACTTTGTTGTAGTAGACAGTCGGGAAATCGTCGTGCTAAGGCCCATAGGACCAGCACCCCAGAATAGCAACCGTCGCCGATGAAAAATAACGTAGATCGGAAGGATCCAAACCAAAGACACACGAACGTAGACGAACAACGACGAGATCCGAACAAATCCACCAAAGGTAGATCTGCCGGAGACACACCTTCACACGCCCACCAACGATGTTAGACGCACCGCCGGAATAAGGGCTAGGCGGGGAGACCTTTATTCCATCTTCACGGAGCCGCCGCCGTCTCGCCTTCCTGAGTAGGACACAAACCCTAACAAAATTGAAAAAAACGACTAAAAACGGAGCCTTCCCGCCGGCCCTTGCCAGGATCCATCGTGCCTCCATGGCCCTAGGGCCACCGGAGACGAGGCGGACCTGCGCCGGCGCCGGCGAGAGGCACAAACACTAACTTTCTTTCTTGGAGAAGGAGGCGGAGCCCTGGCTCTACGTACGTTACGGAACGGCTAACTTGACTGTAATTTTGTGAAGTCAGTCAAAATTCTCCACCTATGCATTTACCAGAACGCAGTGGCGGAGTTAGGATTCGAGTATAGGGGGGCCGAGTACGTATATTGATCTAATCTCGTTGGTAA